GCCACCAACTTTTTATTTTATCCTAAGGAAAGGTTAAAAAGCACAGGAAAAACCTTTGAGACGTTTTCTTGGGTTCGGGGAGTAGATTTATAGAAAGGGAAGGTATTATCACACTTTCTATCCATGGTTATCCATGGGCTCTTAGTTACTTGCTTAGATCACTTGCCTTTGCTTTTCAATTGTTTGAAATGGTGCTTTGTGTGTGTGGTTTTGAAAATGTTTTGAAAAAGATATCTTGTCTAGGCAACCATTGTAACAATTCTTGTTTGAATGTTTTACAAGGGTGTTTGTCTTTTTGAAAAGATGTTTCAATGTTTTTTTGAAAGTTGTTTTTGAAGTTTGTGTTGTGATGTGTGTTTTGAAAAATGGCAAGGATTGTTTTGCAAGTTTGGTCAAGTAACCAAAAGCTATCTACCCTAATTTTCTCAAAGATCTTTCTCATGTTTTAACCCTTTTAACAATGTTGTTTCACCATTGTATTTGGTGAACAACCTTGTGTTAGAATGTTAACGGGACGGGCGCGGGTCATCGTTTAGACCATGAATGCAATAGTGTCAAGTATTTTGGCAATTTTCTTGAGGGACTATGATCATTTTGCTTAGGCAACAAGATAGCGTCATCGAGGGACTATGATCATTTTGTTTTGTTTTTGTTTTGTTTTGTTTTGCCAAAGTAATTGACATGCAAACATGACCCATTTTTGAAGGCAACAAATGGAGTAACCCTAAGGGTGCAAGTGTGCATTGTGTTTGTTTTTCATGCATGTTTATCTTAAATTAGGTCAAGTTATTTGTTGATTGATTTTGCATACAAACCCTAAGTCTAAACATGGCATAGTTGAAAGCTTTTAAATGCGGGAATTTAAATGCTAAGCTATTACAACAAGATATAGGGAGGGGGTACAAGTTTGAATTTATGGGATATTTGACAAGGAAATAAAAGCTAAGTTATTACAACCATATCGAATATACAAATTAATATTTAACAATTAAGTAAATATAATTAAATAAATATCAAAATGCAATGTATTATGCAAAAAGGGTTTTTCATGTATGTAAAAAAAAGGGTTTTCATGTTTGAAGTATAAACAAAATAATAAAAAAAGTCATTTTTGATTATTTTTGTGGTTTTAGGACTAAACCCTAATTTTTTGAATAAAGTATGTATTTATTTATTAATTATGTACAAGGTATATTAATTTATACAAAAAATAATAAAAAAGGAAGTATATTGTAGAAAAAGCATTTTTGATGTCAAACATTAAACAAAAAAAATAAAAGGTATTATTTTTGTATTTTTGCCCTAAATATTTAATAAATATGTATAAGTATATATTATATATATTCAATATGCTAAATATGTACAAAAAAATAAAATATTAATTATTTACAAAAAATGTATATTTTAGGAAATGTTTTCAAAATGTAAATAAAAAATAATAACTAAAAAATGAATATTTTTGTATTATTTTTTTAGGGTTTTAAATAAAAAGGTTTTATATTATTTATGTGTATATGTTCAATAAAGTAAATAAATGCCAAATAAATAAATAAAAATGTGGAAAAATATTTTTAATGTTTTTTATGTTTGGAAAAAAAATATCAAGTCAGAATAAAAAATAAAAAGTAAAAAATGACAAATATTTCACACAATGGGCCAGGGGGTGCAAATGGAAAAAAGGGATGCAAAAAGTAAGTTGACTCAGGCCCAGCCCAAGTCAACTCTGTCTTCAACCTCCAGCAACCTTTGAACAACAAAAACGCGCGTTTTCCTTGCTTGATTCAAACTCATGATTCCTTGATTTTTAGCAAAAACTCATAACACAAACAATGTAGAGCATCAAATCACGATTCCAAATATGTAAAAAACTTAACCTAACTCTAAGAAACCAGGGAGAATTTCTTCACCCCCAATTTCTGACCTAGTTTTTCTTCAATGTTCATGGCTAAAATTCTCACAGCACGCTTAACATAAATGAAAAGTAATCATATGTATGGCTTCAGGGCTATGAGTAGGACATGTTTCATTCACAAACCTAAGCCTAACTCTTCCTAGATTGAGAGATAGAAGTTCATAAATTACCTGTTTCAGCTTGAGTCGTGTACAGCAATGTGGCCAACTTCAGTGGAGTTTGAGCTTTTGTATAGCTTGCCTGAAGTCCAAGGATGCTTCCCAAATGCCTAGCTTGATTTGAAACCAACTGTATCGTGCTGTAGAAGTTCACCTGCACAGCTTGGAAGTGAAAATGGCAAACGTGGTTAGGGGTGTTACAACTTGAGTTTAAGGCTTGGGATAGTTTCAGTGGATGATATGGAATGTCTTTGAACTCCTTTTGGACAAAACGCATGACAGGAATGGATTGTGGAACTCAAGTTGCAGGGTATGCCCTGTTTCTGCAGCAAGAGGGTGTTTTGATGTATGAGGAGGTTTGAGAGGTGGTTGAATCGTGCCTTAGGTCTGTTTTGGTGTATGGAAGATGTGTACAAGGTTTGCTTGAGCTTTTGTTTAGAGGAATGAAAGATGGTTTAGTTTTGCCAAGGTTTCTTCAAATGTAAGCAAGAAAGTGTAAGTTGACAATGCAGGCATGTACCACCCTCTATGTATGCTGCATATCTTGCTCTTGAGACTTGTATCTTGTAGATTTGATTTGGCTTCAGAGATATGGCCCCATGCCTCTTGGATTTGATATTTGACATAAAGCATAACTTTATCAAAATGGCAATTCACCTTTTTCCAATTAAGGGTTAATTTTGTGTGCAATGTCCAAATGAACAAAATAATGCATTAGCTCAGTGGATTTGCATTAAATTAAGGAGTGTAAAAGGGTTTAGAGGCCTTCAATCTAGAATTGTACAAGCTGACTTGAAAATGCAAGTTGCCATGAACATGCCTTGGCCATGAACAAAAGTGAATTTTGCCCAACTTTGTGAATTCGATTCTCTCTAACCACAAGGGTGTTTGATGAGTTCTTGGACAATTTGGAAAGCTTGGAATGTGTACTATAATCCATCTTTGTAATGCAAATTGAAACTCCAAGTGGAACCATGTGAAAAATGGCCAAGAAGTTGGACAAAAATCCTGCCTAGAATAGGGCAAAATTTCTCTAAGTTAAAAATGTTTTGCACCCTTGTTCCAAAAATCATAACTTGAGATACAAGCTTCCTTTGAGAAAACTTTGTGAATCAAAGTTGTAGATTTTTCAATTTACTACAACTTTCATGTTTCAAGTTTTGTTTGAATCCATTTGCATCTTGGTGAAAAAATGGGACAAAGTTAGGGAAAAAATAAGGAAATTTCATAACTTAGAAAAATTCTAAGTTATGAAATTTTCTCATTTTAAACCCTAATTTCCAATTTTGGATTTCTTGATGAACAAGTTTCATAATTTGACATGTCTTGATGAAAAATAAATCTTGGCACTTGATTTTGACCAAAAAGTCAAAGTTTGACTTTTCAGTATACAGTCAAATTTTGATCAGTTGACTGAAAAATTCATCTGTCAATCCTATGCATTTGAGATCTTTTGAACTTGTTGAATGGGTCAAGACAATTCCATTGAGTCCTTGAGTCCATATGTGAGCTTGGTTTGCCATTGGTTAGGTCAAACAGTCAAAAATTTCCTTTGTGCAGTCAAAACTCTAAAAATGACCATTTTGCCCTTTTGGTGATCTGATCAAATTTCTTGTGGAATTGTGATCCAAACTTTACCAAATGGTTCACATGAGTTCATTATGTTGATGTGGGTCAAATTTCATGAAGTTTGACTGTCAATTGGCCACAGTTGACTTTTTCCCCAATACAGCTGATTTCTAGGTCAACTGTCCAATTGACTGGGCAAAGATTGGAATCAAGGCTTGAAAATTGGTATGGATAAACTTGTGATTCCAACATGAAGCATGAAAGTCACCTTGGGAATTTTAGGTCAAAACATCCCTGTGCAAACTCAAACCCTAATTTGGGTCAACAGTGCAAGGAGGGGCCTTGAGCAGAGCAAACCCTAACTTGATCTTGAGCTCCAAGAGTCTTGTGATGAGAAAATGTTGATGAAAAGGGAGGGCAAATTTTGGGGTACAACATTCACCAATCAAAGAAAAGAGTCAGAAATCAAATGCTTAGAATAAGTGTCGAAGCATCATCAATGTGAACATCAATCACATTCGAAAATTCAAGCATATTCGCATACCACACAATAAACCTGCATAAGACTCAATCTAAACAAGTAAAGGTGAATTATAAATCTCAAGTAACCAGATAATCCTGATTTAATTCTCAAAATTGAATAAAAATATAACAAATCTTTATTGATTTTATTATTTTTATCATGTGAAGAAAAAAATTCAAACAAATCTAAACAATTATCAAAATCGTTCAAAGGAAACTACAAAATAGGAAAAATAGGCCCAAGGGGGTGCAAGCTGGAATCCAGAAGGTGTGTTGAAGTAAGGCACTAGGCCCAGGGTCAGGATGAGTCCAATGTTGTTTTTGTATTAATTCTAATGTTTCTTCAAAAAAACAAATGGCCATGGGCCTCCCTAAAATTTGCTTGGTCCACCGATATCCAATAACAAATATCATAATCTTAATCATACTCTTCAATTAAAATATAAAAAAACTAAAATGAGAAAATAAAGGGACGAAACCAAAAAACACATCGTTTGGAAAGGGATTTAGGGTTGAAAGCTTTGTGACCCTAGAGCTTCACGAAGACTCGTCTTCCTATTTTCATACTCAAACGCGGCGCGATCTTTCTTTCCCCTTCACCTCTGATTCCTCTCCGACACCATGACACCACTACCTCCTTCGTCATCTCATCATCTGTATTTTCTTCGACTTCGCGGATTCTTTCCCCGTCTTCGCCTTTGTCTCAAACTCAGATCGCAAGTTCGATTCAGTTATCACCTTCTCCTTAGCCTTTCTCCGTCTCTGTCGATCTTTCTTCTTAAATCGCGCTAAGTTCCATCCGATGAGACTTCATACCTCTCAACTCTTAGCATCGACCTATGGTTCGGTTTCAACACGATGATGATGATGGAAATAAAAAGGTACTTGCACTCTTTCCTTCTGCTCACTCTTCACTCTTCCTTTTATGTGTATGTTGTGATTGTGATGAAGTCGCTATTGTTGTTAAGTGTAGCGAGAACGACAGGAAAGGATTGATGCAAAGCTTTTGTGTTATTTGCGATAAAAATGCAGATGCGTTAGTGATGAAGGCGCAGTTGTTGATGAATCCTCAGGAAAAACCGATGATGGGGATTGAAGATGATATCAGAAGGCGATGAAGGTTGAAGTGCGGAGTAGTTATGTTGAAATGATGAAGGTGGTGATGGAGTTTCCAAGAAGATGAAGGTGAAGATCAAATTCAGAGAGAGAGAGAGAGAGAGAGAGAGAGAGAGAGAGATTAAAGAGGGACAATGAAGATTGAAGGGTGAGTTTCTCTCTAAATTTATGGTGATTCTTCTCATAGAGGTTGAAGAATGAAATCGATTCTGGTGAGTTTTGTGAATTCTGAGTTTTTTTTCCATATTTCAATAATGATTGTGGATGTGAATAATTGTGTCCTTCCTCTCTTTCTACTCCCTTTCTGTCATATACCTCTACCAAAAGTTTGTTACAGGTGAGTTGATCTGAGCTCTTGGGTTAGGAGAGTTATTTATGGGAGGTTTCGTTGGAAATCAGTTAGATGTTAGTTATAGAAATTTTGTTAGTTAGTTAGTTAGTTAGGAAGATTGGGAATCAATTCAATTATAGAGGTGGCAAGTTAGTTTTGAAACTGAGTTTGGATTTATGCTATACTTTATTCTGAAAAAACCTCCCTCTGATATTTTCTTCTGAATTCCCTGTTTCTTTATATATGTCCTAATAAAACTTTTATAATTCTTGAGTCGGGTATTTCCGACTTAATTCTCTGCTTTTCTGTTTTGTTAATTGAACATGGATGCGGTTTATTTGTTGTGCAGGGGTAATGGAATTGGTTTTGTGGTTATACAATTAACCATTTTCTGCTTCTTCTGTTGGACATGTTAGGCTATCAATTTTTCTAGACTATTTTGTAGTCTGATGCATAACTGTAACTTGAACGATTATCTTGGTTATTGAAAACATGAGGCCTGTTTGAAGGATTTGGTCATGAATATTTTGAAGGTGAGAACAGGAAAGACTGGTGAAGCCTTGATGACAGAGCTTGGATATAAGGGAGAAAGGCAACAACTATTGAGAGCATGGACATGAAGTTTTGAAGATCATAGCAAGAATAAGGCTCATCTTAGGTGTAGTATAGGCTTAGAACTGAACTTGTAATGTCTATAGCATGCTTGCACTTTGTATTTGTAATGTTAATGGATCATGAATGATCTTTGGATGATGAAGATTCATTTGAAAGAGATGTTTTGAACTCTAATTTTAAATGAAGTTGGATAAAACTTCCTCAATACATGAATAACATCATGAGTGGAACTTTAAGTTTGAAACTTGTCATGACAGAAATATCAACACTTTATTTCTATCATTCAGAAATCCATGTCTATTATTCCTTAATGTTCGAATGAATAATGAGCAATTTAAATGGAGTTTGCACAACCTTGCGAGCTTTTGTTGAATGATAATGATGAATGATGCATTTGGAAAGGATTTAGTTTGGATAATGGATGATGAAATTTGTGGACGAAGAGTTTGAACAATGTTGAACTTTGTGTGAATTCCTTTGTTTATTAGCCCTTGAATTTTGCATCTTGATTTCAAAAATATCCTTATGAACAAATGCTTATCAAATTTGCATAATAGAGCCACTTGAATCGACTTCAAATCCAAGTCATCTTGCATTCTCATTGAACCTCTAATTTCAACTCTCTAAATTCGAGCCAAACTTAACTTTCATGAAAAACAACTTATATCTGAAAGAGTGATGATGTTTTGAATCCAGAAACCATATCTTGTAACCCGTCTCCTGAGACACCTATGTATCACCAAAGAATCCTCAAGTTCATAAACTCTTATCATGAATCCAACCCTTGCAGCGATGAACATAAGTACAACAACCTTAATTCAAAGCATTCTCATTTGAATCTGAGTCATTGAAGAGACCATAAACACTTGATGCTTTTGAAAAAAAATCTAAAGATGGAAGTCTTGTAATAACTCGATGCAAGAAATTCTCAATGAATCACGCCCACAAAACCCTAGCTCCACAAACCAAAGATTGTTAAAATAGTCTTGAGTCAGCCTTGAATGAAAGTGAGACTCTCAAAGCCAAAGAGAAATCCTACACCTCAAGATCCTTGATCCCACGCCAAGTTTATTTATTAATGATGTATGATTTATATTTCCTAAATAGAGAGTATGTACATGAGATTTATGAGAAGCATAAGTCAGATGATCCTTGAAGAAGGATGGAACAAATTTAGGGCATTACACCTAGCCATCTTAAATTTAAGTTCTCTTGAAATATTCCAAGTCTTGAATTATATAGAAGAGCATTTTGTCCTTTCAATAACTATATTTTCTAACACTTTATGCCATTGCCATTTTTTGGTATTTTCTGTAAGTTCTCTAGTTTTAAGGATTGGCATTAATTTTTGTAAAACAAATAATACAATAATATGTTAGATAGGATGTATTAACTTACTAACAGGAATATGTTGAAGCATGAAGTCATATCTTATGTTAGGACATGTTAAGTTGAAGAGTTTCAACATCTGGAACAACATGTCGAATAAGATGTCCTATGAAGGAGCATACGACATCACGCCTGAGCTGAAGTGGATAGTTAAATTCTGTTATGATTTAACTGATGCATAATATTTTGGGAAATGTTATGAAACATTAGAGGGAGTTGATTTAAATGTCAAGAAGAATAAATCATAATATTAAAGAATATACAGTTTCTAAATTTGGAGATAATTTAGGAAGATTTGATTGAATACCTTGTTTGTAGCAGAAGTTACTGTTGTTTGTTATAGCTGATATGTTGTTATTTGAAGGCCCAAATATAGTTGGGTATAGGTTATAAATAAAAGTGCTTGTAACCTGGGAAAGGAACGGGTTCAATATGTAGAAGTCTAGGACTGTCTTTTTGCCACTCTCTAGGAGAGTTGGTATAAGTGAACCACTCAGGTTGTGAGATGGTCACTGTTGTTCTCACTCAGAAGCTATGAAGTAATGAGTTGAGTATTATTATTGGAGGAAACTTTGAAGCAACTCCATATTGTGGTCTTAGTCAAGAGTCTTGGCTAGTGATTGTCATGGAAGTGTGTCTTCCTGTTTTTTCATAATTGTGTTGATCCAATCGCTGTCTAGGATTGAAGAGGGATTAAGGAGGGCCTCATATCTAGGTGAGTATTAGATAGAAATCTAGTAAGGGTGGTAATTAAGTGATAATTTGTAAATGAAGGAGTTTAGCTTCTAATTGATATTATCATAGTGGATTTTCCCCTAGCTTGGTATGCCCCCAGAGTAGGAGAGTTTTTCCGAACTGGGTAAATAATTATGTGTGTTGTTTATGCTTTTCAGTACTGTTATTTATTGTTGATACCTTGCTTGTTTGTTTGTCAGATCAGATGTCCCAACATGTCATAGGACATCTAAGTTCTGTCATTCCAGAATTTCAATTGGTATCATAGCAGGCATCCTGTCTGTTTCTGGATGAGATTCATGGGGGATACTTTATGGTTTTGTGCAAGGTAGAAGGTTTTTACTAAAAATATGTTGTTTGAACGGTCCCTAGATGTGGTGGGACTGTTCATGACATGGTATGAATTGGACCTGTTTGTGTTGTTTTTAAGTGTGTAGCTTTTGTGGCAAGCTACTGTGTTGAGGGTTTGATCTATTTTCAGACCTAGGTAACCTGTTGCACCGGTAGGTTGATGTGTTTGTACAAGGGTTACTATTTGCGCCAGAAGGTTGTGGAGGAGTTTTTTGATTTGTATTCTACTACATATATATCTGATGAAAGACTCTTGGTGGTTTTGTATGTTTAGGATGCAACACATTGTACGCCTCAAAGGCGTATCCCATGGTGTGGTGATATGTGAGGAGAGGTTCGACGAGCTTGCTAGTGCAACCAAAGAGAATTGAGGTTTATCCCAAGTCCACTCATAAAGGCACTCTTATGTAAGGTTGTTGAAAAGAGATCTGGTAGAGGCAATTTATTTTTTCTTTCAACCCTAAAAGGCCAATCTCTAGGCTTTGATAAAGGATCTCTTGATGTGTTCCTTGTAAAGGGAACTGGTGTCCTACCAGATGTTGGAACATTAAGCCTGTTGATTATGCAGAATCTGGTTGGACATGAAGATGTGAAAAACACAAGAAGGGGGGATTGAATTGTAAATCTTAAAACGAAAGCTTAGACAACACTGTATTTTTATCCTGGTTCGTTTGATCTCAAACTACTCCAGTCCACCCGTCAAGGTGATTTCGCCTCTCTCCAACGAGGTCTTAATCCACTATATTCAATAGGATTACAACAACCACTTTAACAACTGTTAAAGCCTTCTTGAGTATAACCACAAACCGGTTTATCTCAAGGGAATCTCTTTACAGATAATTGAACAATTATGTGTGCTAATGTTTTCTAACAAAATTATATATCACAATTGTGATAATACACAAATTTAAGCTTGGAATAAAAACTGAATTGCTAATGCTTTTGCGTAGGCGTGGTTTGAAGGCTTAGCAAAATGTATGAGTGCGTGCGTTTTCGTAGGCGTGTATATACATACATCTTTTTTCACACAGACTTGTATATATAGCCAAGGCAAAGATACGTTGTTGTCCATAAAGCACTTTCAATGATAATAACGTTCTTTCCTTTTTGAGAAGATCTTGTCTTGGATAAAGCCGTTGGTAACTAATCTGTCTTGAATGCTTAATAACGCTCCAGAGTCTTCTCTGCTAATAATAGCGCTTCAGAATGTTCTGCCTTAACATATGATGACGCTTCTGAGTGCTGATGACTTGGTAGAGATCTTTGATCAGAGTCAGAGTGTTTTATGCGCAGATTCTGGTCATCAAGCTTCAGCGTATGATCTGGTAGCTTCAGCGTGTAGCACATGCTATTGATCTTCTGATGCCGACAAATTACTTATCTTCTGATGCTGATTCCATCAGAACTTCTGTAAATACAAAACACAATTTTAATCAGCATATTTGTTCTATATATATATATATATATATATATATATATATAAATATATATATATATATATATATATATATATATATATATATATATATATATATATATATATATATATATATATATATATATATATATATCTTTGAATTT